CCCCCACCCCAGGGCTCTGCCCCAAGGTCCAGCCCCTTACTATTTTGACAGAAAAGGTACCCCTTTCTTATATCTTTAATTGAAAAAATAACCCCTCTCACACTGATACTATCATAACTGACCTGTATTATGAATAAGTCGCCAAAAAACGAAATCTTCTTGTCATTTTCATGTAGTGCGTAATAAATTAAATGATACACCACAAGGTGCATCTGTTTGAAATATTTTACTTAAAGGCCCTTGAAAATGACTAAATGACAGATTTCCCTACCCTTTCATTTACCTAAACTTCTGAAATCCCTACCCTTTTATACACCTGAAGCCTGAAAAAGGTACCACTTTCAAGCATAGCCTCACTGTTAGGCCATTATAGGGAGAAACGAAATTAAAAGACTGATCCTCCATTTTTTTTTCAACCATCGAGGGTTGTCAAAGTTGACAGAGTATCATAAGCCAGTATTCAGATGAGGCTTGTTATACTGTCTGGTAGTTCCTAATTAAAGCAAATGATAATTAATACATGCATGCTATTTTTGAGGATTACATCTTCAGCTGAAACTTGTGACTTGTGTTAAAAGCCATGTTCTTCCACTACCTGCGTACTGACTGACAGTCTCTAACTTACCCTGTTCTTCTCGTCGAGTTGGGTCTGTAATTGTTTGACATCAGCACTTAATAAACCCTTAGATGATTTGCTTGAGTCACTCAACTGAGATGACAAGTCCTACAAACAAAACAACAGCTAAATTAACATAATTTGTTAACTCTTAAGAGGGATTCTGTTGATAATAAAGGTTATGCAGTAGTCAGATCAGCTTGGCCTAGCTTGCATGTAAGTCAATATTATTTTCTTGGTGACAATGGCACTTGAGATGCAAAGAACAGGGATCCATATTGTTTTTTTCTCCAAGTCAAGCAAGTATGCTAGATGACATATTAGCCCTGGCAAAATTTTGCTTGCCCGTTCAATCAGAAAGAATGGCAACTGAACAGCAAATAAATGGAAATATTACTTTTTTATTATTTTCACGTGACCAGTCTCCCAGTACATGATGTCTGTAGTTGTGGTTGTCAGCATATGCAGAAAATCCAAGTACAAATGAAAACTAAGGCCTCTTCGACTGTCATGAAGGCTGAAAGGAATCATTTCCCTCTTCCTGCTCATATTTGGTTGTTTTTCCAAAGTATTGACATTATCAAAGGACATCCTGATCAAAGCAGCTGATGCGATCATGCCACATGTTTTCGCAGATGCAGATGCAGTACATAGCATCAGCAGTTGACAAAATGAAAATTGAGCCTGCAAGTCTTTCTCTGTTTTCTAAGACACTTAACTCTCTCCATCCAGGTGTAGAAATGGGCACTGCCAGATTTAATCCTGGGGATAACCCTGTGATAGACTAGCATCCCATCCAAAGAGGAAGTAGAAATACTCCTAGTCACTTCATATTATTGAAACTGGGATAAGCACCTGCCTGATTGGCCACTTGGCTCATATACAGACTGTACCTTACCTCAAGGGATAAAGACTCAACTTGAAATACTGATCATAGAAGCTCTGCAGTGATTCAAATAGCACCTCTTGTTGTGTGAAAATTCAAAACTGAGAGGCTGCCAACCCAGGATATACTGCAATGTGTCAACTTACAGACATCTTTTACATGGAAGCTCTGAGCATGTAAACAGAGATGTCTGTATTCTCAGGCAACTGAATCACAGTACCTCAATTTGCAGTCTCAACTTCTTGTTCTCCCTTTCCAAGGCCAACTTGTCACTTTCCAACTTATCACGTTTACTCCACTCCTGTGTGTTCTCAGCTTGCAATCTTTCAATCTTGAAAATCACAGGACACAGAAAGATGAGTGCAATCAATGCTAAGTGTTAATTGTATTCATTTGATGGATCTTAAATTCAGCCACAAGAGATCGATATTATGTGAATACATGAGCAAGTTAATCAAAAGTATTAATAGCTCAATACCTTTAATTTGCAATTCACAAACCCCAAGGAGTACTCAACATTAAAACTGATGGAAGGTGCAAAGGACCATTTTGGGCATTATAAAAATTGACATTCTCTACATTTTGGGTGTTGTTTGTAACATTTTCACCTGAAAATGTCCAGAATACTATAATGATAGTTAAGTGACACATCATAATCTTGGGATAGCAAAATTATGTAGACCTGAAGATTTTAAGAAACGTTTCCATTGCTACCCAGGTGTCTACTACATGACACAAAGTTTATATTGAAGTTGATGGCCATTCCTGTTGCCGCATGTTCAAAGGTATTTAACTTTGAGAAAGAACCAGATTTTTTCACAATTATAGACAAAATAAATCTATATACCCAGTCTTGCCACTTACCTCCCCTCTTAGTTCATTGATTTTGCGAGTGTTTGCAGAACTGTTTGTCGAATTATAAGCATCTTCTAAGTCTGCATTAAGCTCTCCAACTTCTTTTTCGTGTCTGCTCCTGAGCCTTGAGAGCTGCAAATTAAGTAATGAAGGTTAAGTTTGCAGTCCAAGTTTGAACCCTGGCCGGGGACATTGTGTTGTGTTCTTGGGCAAGACAGTGCCTCTCTCTACCCAGGTGTATAAATGGATACCACAGATTTGAAGCCTGGGATAACCCTGCGATGGACTAGCATCCTATCCAGGGAGGAGTAGAAATACTCCGAGTCACTTCATGCTACAGAAAACCTGCGACAAGCGCCGGCCTGATGGGCCACTTGGCTTGTATAGAGACTTTACCTTTACCTTGTGACCTGCACTATCATAGCAAAGTTTCTGTAGTGGATGACTAGGAGTAGATACTGCTCCCCTAGATGGGAGGATGTCATAGCAGATTACCCCTATTTTGTAAATACATGTCTTCCCTTAAAGTTTGTCTTGGTACTCATTTAACCTCCAAGGTAAAGAACTGAGTTGTCCAAGGAAATAACACAATGGCTGCAACCAGTGCTAAAAGCAGGACCTTTTGATGATTCTGGATGCAATGGTTAGTCAATCAAACTCTAAGTATTACTGCAGACTAAAATCAAGGGGGCAGAAGGGCAAAAACATTGTGAGACAAGAAATGTTACGTGATAACACCACCGCAAAGTAATACCAAGGTCACCGTAAGACAGGATTCCACTGTATATACAGGACTCTGTCCTCTGTATTCNTCAAAACCTAACAAATGAATGCATTTTTGGCTGCCATTAATCATAATTATGATGACAACTAAATAACCTTCAAATGAAGAAATAAATAAATAATAGGGGATCAAAATCTACCAATCACAACCCACAGATGTGACCTTTTGAACCCATTGAAGCAAACTCGTTTCTGGAGAGGTCTGCTAAGATGATTGATGGTAGCACAAGTTCATCTTCCAAATTCCATGTCCTCATGCTCAAAAAATTTTAAGGCTGACCATCCTGGGCTGACCATAAAGGAATGACAGTGCTCTCTTTCATCAGTGTCTAGTTATCACCAAGTTAACAATAATATAATTGCTTTTGTACTCCTTGAGGACAAAAAAAATCCCCTTCCCTTAATCGACACTCATCAACATCTCAATCAATACTTGATCTACATCTACATTGATACTCAATAAACACTTGGTATTGATCGACACTCGACCAGGGATGCCTTTAAAACACATGATGCAAAATTAGTCCACAGCTAAGCAGAAATAGGTTCCATCTGTGTAAACATTTGAAAAAGGGCTACATATTTGCCAATGTTGGTGCGGAAGAAAAGATAGTTGCTTGTATTAACAAAATACCCAGTGCCAAGCTAGAGTGAAAAACATACCCTATTTCAGACCAAATTGGTCCATCTCTATACCTCTATACCTTTTTTCAGACAAAATCAGAAATCATATTCTTCAGAGCCACACATCCCTGCCCCTTCCCCCTTTCCCTCGGAAAAAATTATACAAACTATAACTCTGTATGACAGTTCATGTTCAGTCTTTTCTTTTATTTCACCATGGCGCATGTGGTGTTGCTTCGAAAAAGTATGCTTTGTATTTAATGAAAAAAATAACAAATATAAATTGCTCTAGTCTACGACTACTGAATACTCTAATAGCCGATGAGGATTTCAACCTGCTATTTGGTTATAATAAGAAAAAATATATATTCCAAATATCTCCCAGAGAGAAGCTAAGTTTTGCTAAATGAATATAACACAATGAAATGGTTGTTGTGACTATATATAATTACTTGTCTGTAAAAACTCCAGTCTTCTGTTACATCTAGACCAAATAACAGAAGTTACAAAAGACTGAAATGTTTTGTAAAATAATGAGCATTCTTTAGCCCAGCATGCACAATGGAATTGAAAAAAATAATCATTTTAAATTACTACATCAACAAATTATTAAAATTTATTTTGTTTACCAAAGGATATTCCAGAACTTACACCGAAGTACTTTATAGTGATATATAATAAATGTATGTTGCTTTTATAAATAATGCAGTCTGGTTCTAAGCTGAATTTTAACAGGCTTATGCAGATTACACCTTGCAAAGGAATGTGTAAATTGTTAATTTCCTGTTGTAATAATAATAACAAAATAGGAATATCTGTGACTCACCTTCTCTCCTCAGAAAGCAGTTTCTCCGTTTGTTCAAGCTTTAATCGCATTAGAACAAATTGCTGCGAGCTCTCCACATCAACCTGCTTTTCACCATGATCATGGGATTTCTGTTTTCTGGCATTTGGCCGGCTTCTTTTCCGTTCGTCAGCGGGAACCGAATGACTTCTTTCAAACGAATTTGCATCGTCACCTTGACCCTCGTAATACTCGTTCTTTTGAAGTATTTGTTCAATAAACTGTTTCTCGGCTCCTAATTTGGGCACTGTAGTTTCATAAACGCTGGAATTTTCAAGTCCACCGTCCACAAAATCGGGCGATTCCCCTTTCAGCGAAGGTTCGACGCGAGCGGACGGAATCGAACGCTTGTCTTTCTTCAATTCCCTTTCGAGTTTCTCGTTTTCCTTTTCCAGTTTAACTTGAACTTCTTGCGCTGCAATCCTTTCACGCTTTAAGTTTGAAATTTCTTTCACTGCAGCTTCAAGCTTAAGTTTTAGCTGTCGGTTCTCTTCCCTAGCTTTGTTCCTCTCAGCGCGAACTTTGCCCCATTTTTCACGCCAGTTTGCTGTGCAGTCCGACCACCATCGCATGGTCTTCTCCATTTGACTCGCCCTGGCTCGAGCTTCTTCGAGCTCTCGCTCCCTTAGCTCATCTCTGGCATCCAGATCTTCTGTTTCTGTGAAATCTAGAGGGAGATCACTTGAAGATTTTTTCTCTTGTCTGGTTGGATTTACAGCCTGAACTTGGATGTTTGGGTTTGCATTCATGTTGAGTAAAGTGCGCCTCCGAAAGAGATGAAGAATTCTAGTGTAAAGATGCTTCCAGTGAAGTAAGAAACTTCTGCTCCTTGATTCACCTGTGATAAATCTGTAATTCAAACAGATCGATTGATCTCCAATATTCTGTAAGTTCAACTTTGAGGGACAACTTCATTCACAAGCGTGGATCGAACGACTACCAAACTTGACGGATTTCAAGTCACAATAATGAGCCAGCAATAAAAGCCAAAGTGCAGATCGCCTCAGATCATTAACTTCATATCACATCCAGATGCATTAAATCACATTCGGTGTTACCGCTATAAATTGCTCTCCTGTCACTTGTTAGAATCTGCAAGATAACCATCTCAAACCTTCACGCATATTGTAGACGGTCACTGCGATATTCTCTCACAAATTTCAAACTTATTGAACTTTCTCACATGCAGAGCTTACAGTATAACTGTGTTTTTGAAGGCCGCGAGTACTAAAGTAATTAACGGTTTCACTAAACATGAACTGACCTAGAAGGTCACAGACGGCTGTGTTTCACGTAAGGTCCGTAAGCCGCCATTTTACAAAATTTGTGACTGGCTTTTGCGAGACATGTCAATCAACTGCAACTACACACCGGAAGTGAAGTGCCTGTTTTGACGGCCTTTGGGCGCGAAGACATGTCAGTTTGATTAGATTCTGATGATTACAGTAATTGACTCCACTTCCCAAACAGCTGTACATGCACACAGCATTCGCTTTTTCAAGATGTTCGCTTAATTGAATCTTTAATGATGTTGCTTCCGGTGTCGAAAAGAGCCAAAAGAGTTAGCTTTTATGCCCCTGACCTGATATTTTTAAAACATATTTTACAGGGGCACCCAAAGAGACTGAATCTTTCCAAATTACCAATTACGTCAGAAGGGTCTAAAATAGATTTCTATATGTTCTAGAAGCCTGTTTAGTTTGTTTGGAACTGCTCTAAAAATATTTATCTGTTCGAATATTTTAGTGGAACTATGCATGGTTGTTTCGAAAGTTCTACGGTCCTTTTTTGTCATGTTCATCCGAGAGTTTTAGCTATAGATCCTGATGGGTATTGTCGAAAGTTTGAGGACAGGAAGAAGCCATATTTTCCCTAGAAATTTTAGGCGAAGTGTTTTCTTTATACGGGTGCCTATCAAAATTTTGCAAATATACAAGGCAATATAAATGTTCGTCCGAATATTATAGGTGTAAAACCTATTTATCCGAAAACGTTAGAGGATGTAAATTATACGCTCTCTCTTACAGACCGAAAGACAGACAGGGGTGCTCGGTTGACGTGCGTTCCTGATGACCCCTGGTAATCACCGAAATTTTCAGCAGCTTTTAGGATAATTACGACAGACGAAAATTTTAGCTAACAAAAAAAGAGGTCCGAAAATTATGGGACACTGACAAAAAGTGAGCACATCAATTCCGAAAATTTTAAGGAAACTTACGCCTGTTTCCAAAAAACTTCGGAAAGTCTAGAGCATCGCTCAGCAAATAATTTCGAAATTTTTAAGAAACATTCCATTCGAGCAGACATTTTACCGAATTATGCCGTTGGGTGCCCCTTATTTTATAGACGTTGTATTAGCGGGAACTGTCTATATCAGTAGCCGACGGGTCATGCTTGACATTTACTCATATTATAACATGACTTACAACCATTGAGGTAAGCTTAAAAATCAGAAAAAATTATTGTCGAAAAATACCTCCATGAATGTATGACCACTGTCCTGAACTTCGCATTAAAAATATAGCCAATGAAAATTTAAGAAGTCCAAAGGTCGAAAACAAATTTTGAAGTTTATATGAAACACTTGAAAGTACTGTTGAAATAAAACTGAGAATGAAATTTTACCTGTGTTGCACAATTTCTCTGATTTTTAAAATTTATTTTCTCGAGATACCATGAGAAATTGTCTTAAAATTATCACTTAAAATTATTCTGGTTCTAGGTTTTTGTCCACAGAAAACCAAAATTACTCGATCCCCTATCGGATTTCGTCAGCAGTGACTCTTGTGGAATGGAAGTGAGACCAAACACTCCATTAAGACAGAAAAGACAAGATAAAACTTGGATCGGTTTCAAATCCACTTGTAAACCTACGATTTCTTTCTAAAATTGGTTAAGCTCTTGTTCTTTTAAGTGTCTCTGTAACAGATCCCGAACACTTTGAAGGAATGTTGCTATAATTTTCCTTACCTAAACGATTTCATTCTTTTCACTTTCATAATGTCATTCCTTTTCATGGATATCTCCTTCTCTTTCATTTCCGGTTTGTGGCAGCATCAAATCGAGGCAACATAAACACAACATGGCGCAAAGTGATGTAGAGGAATTTTGCAACCTTCCCGAGGAAATCTGGCTTCATACGATTGGATACCTCGCGGCTATTCAAGATATTCTCAACTTAGGATGCACGTGTAGAAGACTGTATGATCTAACAAACCAAAATGTTATTTGGAGAAGACGTTTTAAGGGCGACAGCAACCATCTTTTGCACCTCCCGCAAGGTTCACAGTGTTCAGCTTTTCATCACGTCATGGCCTCGAAGGACGAAAGTGAAAACTTTGATGTGGAGCAAGGATTCTGGAAGAAGTTGTATCTCAAAGCAAGTCATGCTCTTTCATTTCAGAACAGAAATTTCAATGGATTTTCTAGCATTGCAGGAGAAAGATTATGTGCGGAGTTTGTGGCAAATCCAAGAGCGGCTAGAAGTGTCATGGTAAGCTTCAACGGGGTTCGATTTGATGATCGCGCTCCGACTAAACAGAGTGTGGAAATTTGGGTCAAACTGAACAAGAGAAAACCCGACGGGATAATTATTGGATGTCAGAGCGAATCAGTAAGGTAAATGTCACATCCTTAGGGGGGTAGGGTAGGTTTGTTGAAATTTTTGAAGTACACAGGTATTGTCAAGTATTGTACATCTTCATAGAGGTATAAAATGACTTTATTAAATGACTAGCACTACAAGTGGCCCAGGTGAAAAAAATGCTGCACTGTTATTTGCTACCAACCATGCAAGAGTAGCAAATCACAAGAACTACCTGTGTCTCACAAGAAAAGAAGTTCTTTTTATGCCATATCATGGCCCTCCAACTGAACAAGCTTCTAAATCTAAATCTCTACTGTGCAGAAACTCCCAAATGGGATTTTACGCACAGGGACACAGTCAGCAGTTTCTTAATCACAATTGCAGAAGTGACCTTTAAATATAATTTAGGTCATTAAAGATGATTTCCAGTCTGTACTGCACAGTCTCAGCATCCTAATGTTTATAAACATTATAACAGCTCACTCGATCGAACGCGAATTAATGTTATTCGTTACGAACCACACACCTTATCTTTGAGGTCTTTAAAATTTTTTTCTTCCAACAGCTTCATTAATTTTTACAGCTGCGAAGTTGCTTCATCAAGTGATATAAGAAAGAACGAAGCAAAAAGCTTCTACGGCTTTGTATCCATAATGGTGGTTGCTTTGAAACTTTGAATTTACTTCATGTAAGCAGTTGTGAGATGTCTACATTTTGTAATGTCTTACATGAAACAAAACAGAAAACACAAACACAAACTCTTGAGAATGCACAGCACAGACTGGAAATCATCTTTAACATTTAGGTATCATATAAGAGAGGCTTTGAATTTAAAGCATTAAGCAGGGGTAGCACTCTGAATATCCTGCCCAACATCCCCAGTGGTTATGGCTAAAAGTGAACTGAAAAGTGAAGCATACTGAATATACTGGGGTAGATTATCCCATTCTGGGATGGTACATGGGACGAAAGGTGATCTGTAAGACCTATAACAGTTCTTGTGTGTCTAGACATTGCTATAGTGGTACTATCCAGTAGATTGTCTGGTGGCAAGGTCATTTTCCGCCAAGAGCTTGTGATTATAGTGCATGATCGCATCTTGCTCCATCAGCGGACAGATTAACAATTTGGCCAAATAAATCAAGCCATCTTCACCTTAAGTTGGTCAATGAATGTGACTTTGTCTTTACCTTGTTGTTTTCCTGCTCAGTTCAAACAGGTGGCCTAACTATCACTGGCAGATACTTCATGTAGGTCCTGATGGCTGCATCAGAGGCTCCTTGGAACCTTACAAGTTCATGAAAGGACCTTGCATCAATGATGGACGGTGGCACCACATTGCATTAACAGCATCTTCAGATTGGCAATGCATGTTTGTTGATGGACGAGTTGTTTGCTCAATAAATTTTGGAATTGGGCATGAGCTTCACAGGTGCAGTATGGTTGAATATAAAAGAAATTCCTCACTGGTGACCTCCACATACTTGTTTAATGTCAAGATAATATTCTGTTAAATTTTATATGATTGGACATTTTTAGGTGAATAAGATGTATCACTGAACAAGTTTGGGCCTTTACTTTGTAAAGTGGGTTGGGTTTTTCTTTTTTTTGCTTATCTTCTGGGAGGGGGTAGAAATTACTCCTGTTGTTTTCCGAGTGACAATCCTACCACAGAGCACAACTGCATAACTGTAGATTTAACCTTTCTTCTACTTTTTCTTCTCTTACAGTTTAAATCCTTACTCAAAACATACCTTTTTAAACTGGCTTTTAAAAATTTGATATAAGCTTTGGAATTTATTATGTGATGCGCCTTTGGTCATTGCATGCTAAAAGGTGCAATATAAGTTGTTAATTATTATTATTATTATTATTATTATT